TTACCAAAGCCTGCTGTCCCCCAGCCTACAATGTTTTTGAATGGGAACCTTCTCTCTGTGGCACCAATACAATCACATCCTCTCTGACCCAGACTAGAACAGTGCCTCTGAGCCATCAACAGCATGAAAAAACAGCACAGTTGAAAACATCTCTGGAAGCTTTGTTTGTGATAGAAATGCACAGTCATTCTGTTGTGCTGCTTTCATTGTAGTCTTTCTAGCACAGCCACTGAAAGATTTTCTACAGTTCAAACTCTGAGGCGAGTCAGTAAACAGTCAGGCCAAGAAGAGAAGCAGATAAGAAGAGACTCAAACTTTTAGACTGTCTGCAGTGATATTTTTATGGCTCATAAGGTAAATAGCTTTGGACGTGGATGTGTTGGAGATGGAGGCTGAGAACATGAAGGAATCCTCAGTGGATCTGAGAAACCTTGAGGCTAAAGTTGGAATGAAAACGCCCGAGAGTCTTCTACGATGGATGCAAGCTGATGTTCAGGATTACGACTTACTCGAGTCTGAGTGTCTCCCCGGTGACATTTTTACAAAAATCAAAACCTTAAAACTTGAAATGGTAAGCATAGTTTGTGTGCAACTAATGCTGAGTTCACTTTAACTACATGCTGTGTGTAAGTATAGCTTAAAGAACCTGTAAAACAGTTTAAAGGGTCTTTCTGGCCTAAAACTACAGCTTTACATTTAATATTTATCTTATGTAGTATTCTATAGCGCAGCATTGTATCCTTCAGCCTTACTAGTTTGATAGAATTCACAATTACATAATTCACAATTACATAATCGTGTTATATATAATATTCTCTTACTACAATTCTCAGCATGTATTACACAAAGCCTTCATACAGCTATTGGGAATCCCTGTGGTGTCAACACATCCAGACTGATAGTCTAGCCACTTACCTATAAGCTAATAAGTACAACAAAGCTAGCATTAGTTTAACTCTAACACTGGTTATCAAACAAAGTTATGAAGAATACAGTAATTCTGTCCTTATTCAATACAAAACGGACAGCAGAAACAAGTTTTTATCCTCCCAGCCAAAGAAAAGAGGTTAAATATTGCGCTAGTCAGGAGCAACTTTGCTCATTTTAGCTTTCAGCTTGTCCTCCTCATATGATGACTTATATCTGTTGTATCTATTCCCTTCACTGTAGCAATTATTTAAAGACGAAACGAAAGTTATTACGACTGTAATAAGATGTTCAGCTACTTAGCAGTTACAGTATCTGCCTTATTTCTGAATTCAGAAGAGAATAAAAATCAGCCCCCAAAATCCACTTTTTCAAAAGTTTCTCCCACCTTCAAGACGCATCATCCGAAGGGGGTTTAAAGTGCTTAAACCAGAAAAGACTCACTGTAGAGACCATTGTAGCACTTCAGGAAGTGAATAAGCATGTTTGCAACAGATGTTGAGATGATTACATGTTTCATTTTGACCGGAGTATCTCTTTAAAAGCGTCAAGCCTGGGTTCGAGTCCCTGACCGGGCGACCAAAGCCCTTTCTTCGCATGTTCTCCCCGTGTCTGCATGGGCTTCTTCCGGGTGCTTCGGTTTCTTCCCACAGTCCAAAGACATGCAGTCAGGCTAATTGGAGATGCTAAATTGCCCCTAGGTGTGAGTGTGTGTGACTATGTATGTCTGTGTGTCTGCCCTGCGATGTACTGGGTGTTTCCAGGGCGTTTCCTACCTTCTGCCCAATGAGCACTGGGATAAGCTTCATCACCCCCGTGACCCAGGAGGATAAGCGGTTTAGATTTTAGTTTAAATTTTTGCAGACTTGTAGGTAAAAATGTATTGCTATGGAAGTGCCTGCAGAATCACTGCCAAGATGCCATTTTTTCCACATAAAATAAAAGAGGTTGTTCAATTCTTAGTGAAAAGTCTATCTTCTCTCTTCTGCGTTGATCTCTTTCTCTCTTCTCTGTTGCTACAGAGAAAGCTGCGCTCCACAGATGTGAAGATCCTACAGCAGCTGGAGGCTCTGAATGAGGAGATGGAATGTATGCGATGGCTTTGGGAGGAACGGGGCTTTCACACCAGTCTGACCACCAACCAGTACGGCCAAAACGAAACCTTCATCTCAAACAGCCAGATCATTTCAGATTTAGATCAGGAAAACTTAAGTCTAACATCAGCAGAACATGCTAAACTTTATCCATATGAATGTGTTGCTGACCAATTCATGGTTAGTAGAAGCTCTGACCACTCCACGATGAGACCAGAGCTTCATGAAGTGCCAGTATTTGATGAAGGAATGATAAACGGGTCCCAAGGACTGCTACTAGGCCATGTGGAGAGTTTAGAAGTCCAGTGCAGTGAGGCTCCAAGGCCAAAGGAAAAGCAGAATGACCCAGATCCATACCTGCTTGCTGGTGAGCTCCTCCTGGGTTATGATGTGCGTTGGCGCTGGGTGGAGCGTGAGGATGATGTGATGTTCCTCTGATGGAGTGTATATATTTCAAACTTTTTACAGTACTAACCTAC